TGGACAGTTTATTTCTAATACCCTCTTCTGTGAACACAATGTGGGTCAGTGCTGTGTCGAACCGTCTGTCCTCAAACGCAGGAAGGTTAGTTGCATCCTCTCTTGTGAACACTGAGGAAAAGAAGCTGTTCAATGCCTCAGCTTTATCCTGGTCAGAATCTGCGTAACTACCATCTTCAAGCCTCAGGTCTGATACTCCTACTCGCGTTTTCAATTTCGACTTTGCATAGCGGTAAAACGCCTTTGGGTTTGACTTGACCTCGCGTGCAACCAGCCTTTGGAACTCCTTTTCAGCCCTCCTACACTCTATCTTTGCTTGGTTTCTGGCTCTTGCATACATCCTCCTGTCTTGCTCATCGTTTGACCCAACCCACGTCTTGAATTTCTGGGTTTTCTTCTTAATTTTGTCGACCGCCGCATGGTTCATGTGTAGGGATCCCCTCGTATTCCTAGAGGCACTGGGTTTGGTCTTGGGTATATATTTATCGATCAAATGGGTCATTTTACTAGTTATGATATTCAGCGTAGTGTCTGCGTTCTTGTACCTTAATAAGTAAGGCCAGTTGATACCCCTCATCTCTTCCCTCATCCCATTGTAATTTCCCTTGTAATATTAGCACCTTGGCCTGGCCTTATCTTGAACTAGGTAACAGTTAAATCTGAATGACAACACTGTATGGTGACTGGTGCCAACTGGGGCAAGGTGTTCCAGTTTGGCCACCATACCCTCCTCGTTTGTTATGATGAGATCAAGTGGCTTGGGTGTTTGCTCCCCTCTGTAATGTGTCGGGTCTCTCACATGTTGGAACAGAAAATTATCTCTCAGAGTTTCTACAAAAAGAGTAGCAGGATTATTCAAGTCATTCGGGGTGGACTCGTTTCTCCAGTCGATGTCGCCATAGTTCAAGTCCCCCATGATAAGGAGGTGGCTGGGGTTGAGCATCGCCGCATTGTTTATTAAGGTTCTTAAGTTCCTTTGATTTAGTGGGCTACAGTTTGGGGATCTGTAGATACACCCGACGATAAGTAAGTCCCCTCCCTTTAATTTAATTTTACACCACTTGGACTCTTCAAAAACATCCTCTCCCTGTACCCTCGCCTGGCTGGCTCTAAGGTCTTGCCTAGCGTAGATAACCACACCCCTCCTGCAGGATTCTTGAGTTAGGTTCGTAAATGAGTCATATCCAGCAATACTGAACTCACATTCCTCTGGGTTGATTCTCCTGTTCTTGTACAACAGTTCTACAACTCCTACAATATCTGGTTGGTGTACTCTTAGTAGTGTTTCAAACTCCTCTCTCTTATCAAGGAACGTGTCAGTATTAGTGTACATGACATTCAAGCCAGAATTTGTTCTCGGTAACGTCTCTGCTCTTAGTAATAAACCCGCTCCACCCACATTCTCAGAAGCTGCAGCATTTGCTTAGTACACTGTATTTTGCAGGGTGTGGTTAAAAATGTCATTGTTTACACGGCGCTCGTTCCCTCCTGTCCGGTAGGCTGAGCTGGTGCCGCCTCCCGGGTGGGGGGTTGAGTGGGTGGAGGGTGCACTGCTGCCCCCTGGCCCTGTGTCGGCACACTTGTTTCCACTACCCTCCCCCTGAGTATAACCCATGTGCACCTGTCCCCGTTCCTCCTCGACTCCTCCCTCTTCTGCTTCAAGTCCTGCAGGAGCTTCTTGTGCTGTTCCCTCTGTATTACCGTGCGGTCTGGGTGAATAAATACATCCCGAAATGCCTCGCTCCTTGCTAAGTTTTTTGCCTGCCGAATAACTTGTCATTTCTCCTCCTCACTCCCTAGTGTGATCCTGAGGGGGCGAGGCTTAGCCCCCTGCTTTTGTCCCAGCCTCCTCACATCCTGAGGGGTTGCTGGAATCTTCAGAACCTCTGTGCAAATATTTTGAAACAGCACCTTGTCGTGTGTTTCCTTACTCACAGTTCCCTCTGCCTGGCTCTCTGGGACTCCAAAAACTATTACATTGTTCCTGCGCTGGAGCCGTTCCTGGTGTTCCTCCTCTCCCCTAACAGTAGGTGCGTTAATTTTCATTTCTTCGACACACTTTTTCAGAGTCCCAATCTGCTGTAGAACCTGTACTGATTCTGCATTACTCTCCGTCCCCCCCCCGTGGCCCTCCTAATACGTCAGCATAACTCCTCTTAGCAACCACCTCCATTCTATTGGCTACTTCCTCAGTCTTAGCAAGGATCTCTTTCCCAACTTGCTCCAGTTTGTCAACCAGCAGGGCTCCTGCTTCATCTATTTTCGTCCCTAGAGAACTCGTTCCCTTATGGATTGCAATCGCTTCATTCACCTTGACTATGCAGCCAGAGCAATACCAGCAACAGCCATCATGCTTTACGGCAGTTAGTAACTTCCTAAACGTTGCATTAGTTAGGCCTGTATCCTCCATATCCGACGTCTCCCTGCAGTAATCACATATCAAACTCATGGTTGTTGTTGTTGTGGGGGGGGGGGTGCAGACTGTGTATAAATCTACACCTATTTCAAAAAAATAAAGAGAGAAAAAGTACTTAGCTACTCTCTGTTGCCTATAGAGTTGTCGTCTGCGACTGCGTACACTGTATCTCCCTGTGAATGGTGTATTGTAGGCACAGTTTCAGTCCTTGAGAACGCACACAATCAACATAAAATATAAAGTCTCTGTGGCACCTATGACACGACTTGGTTTCAGCTGGCACGGTGCCTTTCCAGCTTGCTTGCTAGTGAGCGCTCACTTTAAGTTATTTACAACTTCAGCGGTCACTGATGACACTATGAACTATCACTGTGTACACTGTATCTCCCTGTGAGTGGTGTATTATAAACACAGATTCAGTCCTTGAGTAAGCACACAAACAAAATAAAATTTAAAGTCTCTGTGGCACCTATGACACGAATAGGCTGGCAGTTGTCCTTACCAGCTCGATTGCCAATATGTATTCACTTTAAGTTATTTATAGTCTCTTCTGCATTCACTGATGACAACTATGAACTGATTTAACTGAAGGCACAGTACTACACTCCCTGGTTGGCCTTTATCACAGCCGTGACCACAACACCCTAAAAAATAAAATAAAATAAAAGCTTTGTCATGTGGCAGTGATTGTGTGGTTATAGGCCTGTGACCCTGGCTGTACCTCCAACTCGGTGGAAATTGAGTTTTCAAAAATACAATCGTGTCTAGCATGAAAAGTCCTACATCGATTTACACTTTCACCTCACTAAGACGATCTTGACGAACTTATGTAATCACTGTCCAATTTCTGCCGCTCTACATCGAAGGCCCGAATGCCGAACACGCTTTGTTACAGAGACGCAACACGACCCGCCCGCAGCTCTGAGTAAACTCCCCGACCAGCCAAACATTTCTCTGGTAGGGAGGGAGGGAGGGAGGGACCCAGCTGGAATTCTTATAAGATTGTGATTATTTTAAATATAAACATCATAAAATTTGCATTAGACACAAATATTAGATCTAATGTAAGAATTTTATTAGAAAGAGCAAAAAAATTATCTTTTGTGCAAAATATATTACGTTTATATTCAAAATATTCCTTGACTTGCAAGGAATCCAGCAATGTGAATTATATTATCCTAACTTTAGTCTGAGGTATTATTTATTACTAAAAATGTAAGCCTACTGTTTTCACCCAAACATTTCTCAGAGAGGGAGGAGCCAGCGAGCATGGGAAGAGGGGAGTTGAGTTGAGTCCATTATTTGAATGGACATTAACCGGGCGACTGTATTTCTCTTAAATATTAATTGTGTGTGCATACCATCATAAAATTAAGATGTTATTTTTACTACAACGTAGGTATTGTGTCGGAAAAAGTGGAGTTTGGGGGTCGGCCCAGTCTCTATTTAAATTAATCCCATATGTTCTGTTATTTCATTTTCGCATTTCTCATTTTACGCGGACCTCCACGGGTTTTTTTGACCGCGTATATGCAGACTATACTATATACTATCCTCTATGCATGACATTAATAAAATAAGAAATGTTAATGCAAATACTCCACGGTATCATCAGTGCTCAAAATTAAAAACTCCAACATTGTGTGCTGTAATGTTAAAGAACCTGCACAGTTTTAGATGTAAAGTGTGTGCCACGAGTTGAGCTTGAGCTTACAAGTTCGGTCACTCCGTGCACGACTGTCATCCACACACTCGCACATGGCTGTGTATGTCACACTTGTTTTATATACAGAACTGTATACTGTACTGTACTTTACTTAGTCGAGTCATTCTATGAAAAAATGGCCCAACTCCCCCAAAATATGCAACAATAGGTTTTTTGGGACCAGCAATGATTGGTAGAGACTTGAACTTGCCACCCTAGACTGTTTCTACCACCCTCAGCACAGGCGAATAACAGTCTCAATTTATGTTTTATATTGCTTATTTAAGGCTTATTATGTGTGCTTTATATGTCTGCTTTATTTTGTTGCTTGAAGAGTGTGCCCGACAAAGATATATCAAGGGTAAATAGGAGTTTATGGAGGATAGCCAGTCCCTAACCCCCTGAATATGTTATATTCTTATGGGATTAATTGCTTCGATAACCGTGGATTCATTAATCGGTGACTTTTCCCGATCCTTTATGCGTCAGTTATTGGGGTATTCCTGTACAATACTGCAGAGGGAGTCCATGGATGGGAAGAACCTTTGTCCAGGACACACCCAGAACCTGTTCATCTAACGCTCATGTTAAATTGAAAATGGATCACAAATGAAAATGTTCCTTTTTAGGTGAAGCATAAAAACAAAATTGTGTTGTATGAATGTGTGGTAACTGAGGAACACCTGAACTCTGAAGGAGAATGATCCTATGTTTAGAGAAGCAGTATTTATCGAGTTCTTAGATCTTAAGTAGACTTCCTGGTCACAGATTGTTAGTACGTGAAGGTTTCACATAAGTCATGGAGAATTCAGGTTTTTTAATCTAGGTTACCTTAGGAGCCATACAAATAAAACATTATTTAGATTATGTATGTTCCAGGTTCCTGAGGATCTCATGTATTGTGGGATGCACTCAAGAAATAGCTATAAAAACAGCCGAGGTATGTTCAGAACTTAACTTAAGGTTAGTAAGAGGTGCAGTATTTTCTTTATACAGTGGTCCCTCGGTTAACGAATGCCTCGGTAACGAAATTTTGGTTAACGAATTACCTTCCTTAAGATTCTTCACTTCGGTTAACGAAAAAATTTCGGTTAACACAAGGCCACAAACCAATTCATTCAGAATAATGTTATCTCCACCAAATACAATGCTCTCTCACTACTTTAATATTCTTTAGACTATAATGAACATATTACACTTTAGTTAACACCATAATTATCCATGATTGCCCAGATAATAATAGATAAATGTGCACCACACAAGCTTGACCCTCCTATCTTCCTCAACCTAGCTACCGAGAGTGCCGCCAAAACCAAAACAATGTTCCAATACTTTCTTTTTTCATCAACATATAATTTCTAATTCTTTTTATACTTCACACCTGTTTCTTACAGTTTTTCATAACTGTATAAAAAATAAGAATACATTCTACAAAGTTTACATAATGAAACAAGACATTTTTCAAAGTCTTTACCATAAGCTTAGAAATTCGAGTCTAAAGGAAAAACGGGAAACAACAGAAACTAAATACAATGGGTAACAGAAACAAATATTGAGGGAAAGGGGAGATGACCGTAACAGTATACTGTATTTGTTTGAATATGAAGAAAATTATATTATTGACTTGGCAACCCAACTAGAACCACAGCTGCCACGATATTCTCACATCAAGTTTTCTTCATTATTTGAACAAATATACGAACATTTGGAAATTTCTCGTGACCTTAAATAACAATGAATAGTTTATTATTATAAAAATTTTACCTTTGGTTTGTTTAATATTTATCCTGACAGTGATACAGCCAAAAACAGATCCACCAATCACCTTTACATACAGCCTTCCTTTACCAAGTATTGCCATGTATAATTGTGAGCACGAGACTGTACATAGTTTCCAATAGAAACAAAGAATACATAATACATATATGGTACATAGTATGCATGACTATAAGATATCTCCAGAATGAATGTGCTAAAATTACTGTCAGTGTTAAGAAATTTAAAAAAATTTACATGTGCATGCTTGGCACATGCTCCCAATTTGAGCATTTATGTAGAATATACTGAAATTAAATTATGAATATTCCTCTGACTGTGGACTTGTGAATCAACCTGCAAGTTATGTCCCTGAACACAAGTAAAGAAACACAACCACCTTTACTGTGGAAACTTCTCTTGGTTTACACTAATTTTGCCTACTGCACTGGCCATGTCTAGGAATACAACCCCTGACAGACACAAGGGTGACCTGTATATACCATTTTGGATGTGGCTACCATCCTACCTGAGGTGTCTTGTTTGTTTGTATAAGTATCTTAAGAGTTGTGATCTTTAGAATCTACCCTTGTTCAGTCTTAATTTCTCATGTTTTTCTCTCTATTTAGTTTTCTCAAACACTAATTGGAAATGCACTCTTGTATTTTAGAAACATATTAGAATCTAGTATTAATAAGTGTTCTTTTATGTTACAGGGAAGAATTATTGGCAAAATGTCTGAGTCGAGAGGTGTAGACTCTCAGTCAACCTGCCAGCCAGAGTACACCGAGCAATCCTCTCTAATCCAAGAATCTTCAGGTTCTACTCTCTCCACCCAACAACAAAGGCCACAGTCACCAGAACAGCCTTCTTTAAGTGTTAAACCATCCACCTCACACACACAAAAACAGCCTCAACCCACTTCATCCAGTGACGAGCTTTCACCCACATCTTCCACAGAACAAGCTTCAAGCACTATAGCTTCAGAAGTATTATTACCTGGATCAAATTCATCCACTTCCAGCACTGAGCATCCCTCGCCCACCTCTGCTGCCCCAGAACAGCCATCACCCACAGAGCAACCCTCACACACTCAGCACTCTCCACCTGAACAGCCTCCCTCTACTGGACAAGCTCCACCGCAGCAAGAGAATGCTAATACTGGCAACAATACACAGAACAGAAATAATACACAGAATCGACCCAATAATAACAACAATGGTGGTCTTGCCAACGTGAGAGAACGTCTCTTCCAGGCACTCTTTTTCAGACTGGCTGTCGCTTATGCTCGTGCTTTTCCTCAACCGATGAGAAGACTCATTGAATTCACTGTTCTACTCAAGGTAAGGCTCTTGATGACAAATATTTTATTCTTAATGCTCTTTCATTTTATATATAATTGCATGAAAATCATGACTTTTTGTAATAATCACATCATTTCAGGCTCTAACAACTTTGTTCCTTCTGGTGTACATCCACCTTGCCTTCACTCGTGCACCCATCACTTGCCTGGACCATGTTCGTGATGACTGGCCTAGGGAAGGTATATTGCGTGTAGAAGTCATTAGAAATCCAAGTAAGCCAAACATCATGTTTCCATAATTAGATATAATTGTTTTGTGCTCAAAGAATTCTGCTGAAACTATGACTAGTATGAAATGTTTCTTTTGAGTAATGAAATTACAAGAAACTTGGGATGTACCGATGCATTGCTATCGGTGGTATTGGCCTATTTTTAGAGTACAGTGGTCCCTCGGTTAACGAAATTTCGGCTCATGAATTACCTTCCATAAGAATCTTCAATTCGGTTAATGAAAAAATTTCGATTAACGAAAGCCTTATGAAAATCACGTTTTGTTTTGAACATCAGCTGATAAGCTGAGGAGGTACTCAGCCAATTCAGTAATCTCTTCTATGTTTACATTTGTTTCCATTGGAGTAAATATCAAGAAAATTGTGCTCTTTAATATTTGTGCATTTTTTTATACAGTATTAAAATTATTGGTCATTCTAAAATTTAGCCATCCAAGCTCTGTCTACATAAAGTTTTTCAACTTTTTTTGGCTCATATATGTAACTTTATTCATTTATTGAAACTCATTTACCTGCACACAGTGTCCTAAGGGCAAAGCTGAACTGTACACGTAATCAGAATACTGTAATGTACAAAATGATTACTAAAAATTTTTTCTAGTGCAAACAATGGCATGTTTACATTCAAATTAATCACTAGCTTATAAGAATTCCAGCAATGTAAATTAAATTCACCCCGGTCACTTCTATTAAATTTTATAAGCAAAAAACAAAAACTCAATCTAAAGGACATAAATTAACAATTAAATACTTCACACCACAGGTGCCAACTGTCAAACATGTCACTGTCACCCTTCCCTCTCTCCCTCCCTCCCTACCCCCCACCTTCCTGAGAAACGTTTGGGGATTTTCACTAGGCTTACAGTTTTAATCATATATAATATCTCAGACTAAAGTTAGGAGAATATAATTTGCATTGCTGGAATCCTTGCAAGACAGCGAATAATTTGAATATAAACGTCATATATTTTGCACAAAAGATAAAATTTTTGCTCTCTCTAATAAAATTCTTAAATTAGATCTAAAATTTGTATGTAATGCAAATTATAGCTTGTTTATATTCAAATTAATCACTATCTTATAAGAATTCCAGCAATGTAAATTATATTCTGGCCGGTTATTTATATACAATTTTATGAGTAACAACATAAATAAATAAATACTTCACCAGACCTTCCCTCTAACTGTCAAAGTACAACTCAACTCCCCCCTCTTCCCTCCCTCCCTCCTCCCCCCTCCCCCACCCCCTTCCCAGACAAAAGTTTGGTGTTTTCATTAGGCTTTAAAGTGTTTATCTTATAAAATATCTCAGACTAAAGTTAGGAGAATATAATTTGCATTGCTGGAATGCTTGCAAGACAGCGAATAATTTGAATATAAATGTCATATATTTTGCACAAAATATAAAATTTTTGCTCTCTAATAAAATTCTTAAATTAGATCTAAAATTTGTATGTCTTATGCAAATTTTACCTTGTTTATATTCAAATTAATCACTATCTTATAAGAAATCCAGCATTGTAAACTATATTCTGCCCTGGTCATTTCTATGAATTTTATGAGCTAAAATAAAAAACTCAAGTACCGTAAATAAACAAATTATACTTTACCAGAACCACTATCTGTCAATCAAAATACACCTCTCCCCCTCCCTCCACCCCCCTCTTCCTATGCTCGCTCGCTCCCGCCTTCCCAGACAAGTTTGGTGTTTTCATTAGGCTTTAAAGTGTTCATCTTATATAGTATCTCAGACTAAAGTTAGGAGAATATAATTTGCATTGCTGGAATCCTTGCAAGACAGCGAATAATTTGAATAAACAGTGGTCCCTCAGTTAACAAGCACAATTCGTTCCTGAAGGTTGCTCGTTAACCGAAAAATTAGTTAACCAAAACCATTGTTTCAATGGGTTTTTGGGTAATTGGTTCCAGCTCACCGAAAATTACAAACAAACTAAAAACAAATGCAGTAAAGTACACTTACTTTGAGGTGTGCATGTAGAAGGCTCCTGGTTGATGATGATGATGGGAATTAGAATGGGGGTGGAGGAGAAGGGAGAAGAGAAGGCATTGGGGTGGAAGAGAAGTCACCCCATGCTGCCATTTCACCCATAAAATTTTAGTTCACTTGGTGTAATTCAACATTATTTTCTTTAAATCAACACTGCACTGCGCTATATATTATCGATGTGTAAAATATATTTCAAAATGACCAATAATTTGCTTGGAAACACAGAAAAAAAGCTTTTGTGTTGAAGAGTCTCAAACAAGATGTTCCTTCCTCTGAACTGGTAAACAAACTGACGCCAAGCTTGGTGTGTTGAGTGGCTGTTTGGCGCGCAAAAAACTAGCTTCCTGTACTTCAATTATGTTCAATAATTGTTAAAACGACTAAAAACTTTAATATAAGACTTGGAAAATTATTGAATACAGGTTGTACCTCTCTAGTCCGGCATTCTGTGGTCCGGAACGATTTTAGTTTGCCCACTAGGTAGATATGCAGGGTTTTTTTTATTTTTTATTTGTTTTTATTTATCGGAATTATTATTATTATTATTACAGGAGTACAGTCGGCCCTCGTTAATTCGGACCCCTTTAATCCGGATTTCGGATAAATTGGACGAAATCTGAACTGTCCATATCAAATTTCTGGTTCTGGGATTGTCCCAGTTGCAATTGGGGTTGCAATTTCAAATTCTGTGTCACTACTAAGAAATAACAAAGTCCCTGGTGCACTCTAAGATTAAGAGAAAACGGACAACTCAGGCGTCCTGAAGTGAGAGAAAACGGACTCATATGACGGGGCACTCAAATAAAGAGACATGGCTACATGTTTTGTGGACTAGCCACTGTACAGTATCCTTTTCATCGCTTTGTAATAAACCTCGTTATGCCTATGTGTTTCCGATAATTATCATAACATTATATATTTACATATTTAGCGGTTGTACAAACACAAGGCCTCACACATGCCATTCAGACTGACAGACTTGACAAGTTTTACCAACCATAAAGACAGTTGAAGCTTTAAACATCACTCACAATGGATCTTGAATATTCCAACTGGAATCAGACATACCTAAGTTGCCTCAACAATTGCAACCCCAGTTGCAATATCAAATTCTGTGTCACTACTAAGATATAACAGTCTCTGGTGCACTCTAAGATTAAGAGAAAACGGACGACTCAGGAGTGCTGAAGTGAGAGAAAACGGACTCCTATGACGGGGCACTCAAATAAACATACACATAGCTGTATAATGCAATATTAACCCCTAAATCGGTTAATTCGGACAATCGGCTAAAACGGACACCCTTCCCCCCCTATTAATCCATTTTAACGAGGGTCGACTGTATTACATTTTCGCCCCTCATGCTCCAATGTGGGTCAGTGACCTGTGCCCGGGTGGGCTCTCTCTCTCTCTGTTTGTCTATACAGAGTACAACATTTAACCCTTCAATATATATGAACAGTAAATAAGTGTTGCTTTCATATTCTTATGTAGAGTAATGACGATATGTTTTCACATGTGCGCACTTACATACGCGATCTCACTTTTTTTCTTTAACATTAATGGTTAGCTACTTATATTGTTCCATTTATTAACATTAAATAACATTACTTCAAACAACCATATTAATTTTTACATTAATTTTACTACAGCTACAACCAGGGTCTTATTTTCTTGTTTTATATGTAGAACCAATCAGTCACTGGTTTTGTAAACATTAACGAAAACAATGCCGGCAGCCGTCTCGTCTCCTCATGTGTTTTAATATTCCACGAATTATTTATGAATTGTATTGTTCATTTTGCACACACAAACATTTATTCTAAAAAAAATCAGAAACATTAATTAAAACATATGTGAACAGTAAATAAGTGTTGCTTTCATATTCTTATTTAGAGTAATGACGATATGTTTTCACATGTGCACACTTACATATGCGATCTCACTTTTTTCTTTAACATAAATGGTTTACTACTTTTATTGTTCTATTTATTAACATTAGATAACATTACTTAAAACAACCATATTAATTTTTTACATTAATTTTACTGCAGCTACAACCAGGGTCTTATTTTCTTGTTTTATATGTAGAACCAATCAGTCACTGGTTTTGTAATCAACAAAAACAATGCTGTCTCATTTCCTCGTGTGTTTTAATATTCTACGTATTATTAACGAATTGTATTGTTCATTTTGCACACATAAACATGAATTCAATAAAAAAGACATTCAGTGATAAACAACAATGAATCTTTTGTTCATAAGAGAAATGACGCTATTTACACGATTGTGCACGCCTAAACGTTGGCGGACTGCTCAAACCCGTTGAAATTCGATTTTCCGTCGTCAAAATTTTAAATTATGTAGTGTTTTTATGTGTCCAAATAAAAAACGTTGAATTAAAAACTCGCGAAATTTGAGAAGCTACTGTACGACATTTAACCCTTCAATATGTCTTCATGGAAACCACGAAGCAGTGAAAGTGGTGCTAACGTAAGCGCAAGTCATTATCTGTCCAGGAAAAGGGTGAATTTCCATGGTCTGGCACCGGTCAGGTCCCGAGGTTGCCGAGGTACAACCTTCTTAATATTTACTAAAATGGTAAGGAATTTAAGCCCTAAAACTGATTACTGTATTGGCGGACTAATACTACAGTTGCTGGTGGGCAGCCAAATGCAGGTGAAAACATGTTGGGAAAAATTCGTAAGGAATTCGTTAACCGAGGGCTTGCTCGTTAACCGAAGTGAAGAATCTTATGGAAGGTAATTCGTTAACCAAAATTTCTTTAACCGAGGCGCTCGTTAACCGAGGGATCACTGCAAGCGTCATATAGTTTGCACAAGAGATAAAATTAATCACCTGTATCACATTACAGTAGTGATTTATGAGTTCTAGTGTTCAGTATATGTATGATATATATAGTGATTTAAGGGCGATTTAGGGGAATTTTAGGAGTGTTTCTGACTTAAGGCATT